GATAAACTCCAAGAGGTCATTCTGGATAAAAATGAAAACTCATTTTCCTTTAAAAAAAATTTGCAGTTGTAGATGGATAGCATGCTTTTATTTTATTTGTGTACTTTTATGTGTGCTGAGGATCCAACCCAGTGCCTCACATGTGTGAGGCAAGCACTCTGCCACTGAGATACAGCCCAGCCCAACCCCTTTTCCTTTCTAAACCGCCTGACTCAGACCCTGCTAGAGATCTTGAGTCCTGACACCAGACCTACTTGTGACCCACCTGCTCCATTACACCAATTGAGATCCTGAGTCACCTGACAACCAGACCTACTTGTGACTCACTTCTTCTCCCAAAGTTTCCCTGACCTTAAAGCTGAACTTGAGAAGATAGAGCAAGTCCCCTCACCCCGCAGGCCCAGGGACTTGAAGTAGCCTTCAAGGTGTACAATGGTGGAGATGAAGGGCCCGCAAGGTCAAGTACCAAATCATAGTCAAAGCATTTCAACAATCGACCACTGGAATACCTACTGGTTCATGCTATGAATGTGGTTAATTGGGCCATTGGGCCAGTGCCTGCCCTAATCCTCACAAACCTCCTGTCCTTGTCCCAAAAGCCACAAGGAGGGTCACTGGGCTGTCAATTGCCCTCTTGCCCAGTGAGTCAGGAGGTCATATGATTCCACCACACTGTAGGCAGACCTTCTGGGCCTAGTTACAGATGACTGATAAGGCCTGGGGTCCTGACACCCGATGACCACCAGCAAAACACGGGAACCCAGGGTAATCACTGTGGTAGCAGATAGGCCCATCTTTTTCCTTTTGGACACCAGGGCTTCATTTTTGGTACTTGTCCAATTTTGGGGACCCAACTCTACCTCCACGACCTCCATTGTCAGGGAAGAAGGCAAACCGTACCAACCATTAAAGACCCACTTCTCACATGCTCCATTCACGAGATCCCTTTTGTCCCACTCTTTCCTCATCATCCCCTAATGCCCTACTCCCTTAATAGGTTGAGGCCTTTTAAGTAAATTAGGTTCATCCATTTCCTTTAATCTTCCTATGCAGGGCTCTCTCCCGGACTTGTCCCCACTCCCACTCTTCCTCCTTCTATCACCTACAACTACTCCCTCATTAACACCCTTGCCCCCATCCTTGGTCAACCCTCAGGTATGGGACATACACAACCCCTCTGTAGCCACATGCCAAGATCCCATCCACATCACACTTAGGACCCACTCTCTAAGGTCCAGCTCTCACTTCCCACTGTCATGGGCTTCCAACTGACCCCATCCCACAAGGCCATTACGAGGGAGCAGAAAACCTCATTTCTCCCCTTCTGTTCCCACTACCAAGGCTGAAGTACTCTCATTTCTGAGATTAACAGGATTCCTTAGGGCTTGGATGCTCAACCATGCTCTGCTGGCCCGACCCCTTTACCATACCACAAAGGCCCTCACAAAGAGCTCCTCATCACACCCATCAACACCCCCTTTCAGGCCCTCCAGAGCCCTCCTGCAGGCCCCAGCCCTTCACTTGCCTGACCCATCCCACCCCTTTTTCTATATAACAGAAAACCAAGGATCTGCCCTGAGGGCACGAGGCCACCAGTTGGGACCATCCTTTGTAGCAGTGGCATTTCTCTCAAGATGCCTTGCCCAGCAGTATGGGGATGGGCACCTTGCCTTCAGGTACTGGTCTCCTCAGGCATCCTAATCCAGGAGTCAAGGAAACTGACATCTGGGTCACCTCTGACAGTCCTCTCCCCACCACTGAACTGAATCATTCTCCTATGCGTGTCTTTAGACATTGCCACTTCCACATCCTTTCCCTCCAGGTCTCATGGACTGAGGACCCCACTGTGACCTTAAAAACGTGTCTACCCCTCAATCCCAGGGATATGGATTCTCATCAGCCTCTCCATTCCTGCATAGAGACCAAAGAACAATTACTCTCCATTCCTCCCATATTCAGGAAGGACCCTCCTACACCTGGTTCAGGGATCGGAGCTCCTTTTCCTGTGAAGGCCTCTGAATAGCAGGCTGTGCTGTCATCATGGCCGGAGAGGTGATGGAAGCTAGCCCCTCACCTCCTAACACCCCCAACCCACACGCAGAACTCGGAGCTCTAACCAAGCACCTACCTTAGCTAAGGGGAAGTCTCTGACCATTTACACAGATTCCAAATACAGACACTGTATCAGAATTTCTTGGGCAGAGGTTTCCTTTGGACACCTCATAGGGTCCCTTGTCCCCAGTCATTATCCTTTCCTGGGGCTGCCACAAGTGCCCACACATGCCTTGTGCCCTGCATGGTGCAGGGAATTTCAGGCCCTGGATCAGCTTCTCCTAGAGAACAGCCTAAGGTGTGGGTTGCAACCTCTCAGGGGAACAGCTGGAGTCCTTGGGGCTGAGGAATCTTCTGGAACAGGCCTCATCTAGAGAGCTACCTCCTTGAGACATCGTCTCCCCCAAGCCCTGATCCAATTCCTTGGAGACAAATGGACAGTGAGCCTGTGGATGCTGGTGCTGAGGGGCCAGGTCAGCAGTGATTCCTGCCCTTGCATTCTCTCACAGTTGTGAAGGAGGAAAATTCTCCCAGAGCATAAGGAACACCCACCCCAGTGCAGTGCTGTGCAAACCTGAAGGCCTCGTAGACTGGAGTCATGGTCAGGTCTCCTGGGAGGGTGATCATGGAGTGTTTCATTGAGCAGGACCAGGTGGGAGATGTCCAGCTGGCAGGGACCTTACCTGCCCTTTGAGTCTGATATGTCTGTGCTCCCTTAGCACCAGCCCTTTCTGTTTATCACTGAAATGATCTGCTCACTTATTTGAGGCTCAGGTTTATTTATTCAGAGTCAAATATGATGAAATTATTTAAGAGGCAAGGAAAAAGTGAATTAAAAATCTAGTTATATTTCCATTTGTCAAAAATCCTAATTTAGAGCCAGGTGCAGTAGTGCACACCTGTAATCCTCACTGTCTGGAGGCTGAGGCAGGAGGATTGAAAATTTGAGAACAACCTTAGAAACTTATGAGGCCTTATGCAACTTGGTGAGACTCTGTCTCAAAATAAAATATAAAAAGTATTGGAGATGTGGCTCAGGGTAAAGTGCCTCTGGGTTCAATCCTGGTACCAAAAAACATAAAATAAACAAACAAAATCCTAATTCACCCTTTGCTACCCCTGAGTATGTACAGAAAGTTTCTGAGATTCGGTCTTGTCTTTTCAGTGCTTTCAAATTGAAATTCGGGTCCTAGACGCCAGAATCCACTTAAGAAACATAAAAACTCCATCTTGCATTATTGCTGTAGAACATGAATATGTTTACAAGAAAAGTGATGGATAAATTTATCAATGAGGATCCATGGAAACATCAGTTTCTGTCCTTTACAAGTTGGAGAATGTGACAGGGGATGAGAGCTCGCTGTTGTTGTCTGGACTTGGCAGGTTCATGTTAACTGTGTGGTGTTTTGGTATCAGGAATGGAACTCAGAGGTGCTTAACCACTGAGCCACATCCCCAGCCCCTTTTAAATATTTTGTTTTGAGAAAGGGTCTTGCTAGGGGCTAGGATTGTGGCTCAGGGGTAGAGCACTTGCCTAGCACATGCGAGGCCCTGGATTTGATCCTCAGCGCCACATAAAAATAAATAAATAAAGATATTGTGTCTAACTTTAAAAACCAAAAAATAAATTTATATATATAAAGGGTCTTGCTAAGTTGTTTAGGACCTCAGACCCCTGAGCCACTGGGGTTACAGGTATGTGCCACCACCCCTAGCTTCATGATGAATTTTAAGGACAATCTGGGCAATACCTGAAATACCCAACTATGATCATTTAATCAGTAAATGATTTAAAATAGTAAATGACACCTGTTTCTAAATAAGAGTGCTGGTCCCCTTCATGAGCACTCTCACAATCTCATCTAATTCCTGTTTCCTCCCAAATGCCTCCTCCTAGGGCCCCTGTTGAGATCCAACATTTTAGCTTAAGAAACTTGGGAGTTATATAAATACTTTGTCCACACTCGCTGTGTTCTCTATGATATTTTGGCTAGTCTTAGATATGGCCTACTATTTCCACTTTTAGAAGTAGTTTTTCTTAAGTTCACCAACATGCACAGCAAAACTGGCCCTGAATTTTACAGAATTTACTAAAATGCTTGGTGTGTTTTCAGAGAATGTAGATCATGGGATGTTCAGTCTCATTTGTAAGAAAGTGTTTTGTCTTTCCATTGATTTCATTGTATTTTACACCTCTCACTGTGTACCTTTTCTATTATAATCATTTTTATCACCCATTAGATGTATTTTAGTTTAATTATTTTTGTGTATGTGTGGACTGCTGGGGATTGAATGCAGGGCCTCATGCATGCTTGCAAGTGCAGTACTACGGAGCTACTCCCCAACCCAAGAAAATTAGTTTTATAGACTTTTTCTTATTGATTTACTTATTTATTGTGAAGGATTGAAGCCAGGGACTTGCTCATCTGAAACTTGCTCATGTTATCCTCCAGAAATTCCTTTCAACTTTGCGAAAGGATTTTGGAGGTGGGTGGGTGTTTGACTGGGGATTAAACCCAGAGGCACTTGACCACTGAGCACATCCCCAACCCTTTTTATTTATTTATAACCTTTTTGTAGTTGTAGATGGACAGAATGCCTTTATTTTGTTTAATTTTATGTGGTTCTAAGGATTGAACCCAGTGCCTCATGCATGGTAGGCAAGTGCTCTGCTACTGAGAGACAGCCCCAGTCCCCCCATTTTTATTTTTGATTAAGACCAAGTTTCACTAAATTTCTGAGGGTCTTGCTAAGTTTCCAAGACTGGCCTCAAACTTGCCATCTTCCTGTCTCGATCTCCCTCATTGTGAAATTACAGGTTCACACTACCACACCAGCAGTTGGAATGACTTTTAAAGATAAATCATCCTATTTCTCTCTAAATGGAAACAGTATTGAAAATTAGTTTCCTTGGGCTGGGGATGTGGCTCAAGCGGTAGCGCACTCACCTGTCATGCGTGCAGCCTGGGTTCTATCCTCAGCACCACATACAAACAAAGATGTTGTGTCCGCCGAAAACTAAAAAATAATAAATAAAATTCTCTCTCTCTCTCTTTAAAAAAAAAAAAGAAAAGAAAATTAGTTTCCTTGCTTTCCTCCATAGTTTTGAAATTTGTATCTATGGCTCTTTCTTTTTACTTCAGTCTTGTATTACTCTGGAAAAGGTATTCAATGTGTGATACTGTATGTCTGCGAAACCTCCATGGCACGGCGTTTATTCAAGGCTTCATTTTCAGAGTGATTTTTTTCCTTTTTTTTTCTTTTCTAGTGTTATACATTGTATTAGTCAGGGTTCTCTAGAGGAACAGAATCAACAGGAAGTATAATTCCAAAAAGGGTATTTACTAGATTGGCTTACTCCACCAGAAATTGGATAGTCCATAATGGCCATCTGCAGGCTGAAGAGCTAGAGAACCAGTAGCTGCACAGTCCAAGAGGCTGAAGCCTCAGAGCAAGAGGGATCATGGTGCTACCTAGTCTGAAACCCAAGGCTTCTGGAGAATCACTGGCAGAGTCCACTTTGGAAGCATGAAGAAGGGAAAGTCTGATATCCTCAAGTGAGCAGAGCAGCAATCAGGAATATTTGAGAAGAATCCAGCTTGCATCTGATGCTACCTTCTTATTCTTCCAACTTTTATTCTATCCAACCTACCATCCTATTGGACAGTGCTGCCCATGCTTAGGGAAGGTCTCCACTTCAGTTCCCTATCCCACATGCCAATCATTCTTAGACACAGCCTCGTGGACACACCCAGAAGCCTCTTAATCATTAGCATCTCTTAATTCAATCAAGGTGATAATTCAAATGAACCATTACACATAGTATCCAACACTCCTTCTCTCCAGCTTCTAGTGTCCTCAGTTTTCAACATCTTGCATTGGTGTAGTATGTTTGTTAATTACTGAACCAGTATCCTATATTTGATGAAGAGAGTGGAAGAAGCAACATTTTATCATTAGCACATTTTACCTTAGGGTCCTCCTCTGTGTAGTGTGATTGTGTGTGTCATGTATTCTGCATAATGTCATACAGAATATTTTTACTGCCCTGGGATCCTGTGCTCCCCCTGTTCATCCTCCTCCTGTCTTCCTTCTAACTTTGGGTACTTCTAGATATGGCTGCTATAGTCACTGCTGTGAGGTTTTCTGTGCACATAATTTTCATCTCTTTTGGGTAGACACCTGGGAGTGTGATGACTTAATAGTAGAGTGCGTGGTGCATACTTTGTACAAGCATGACAGACTGTCTTCCAAAGGAGCTGTTGTTGCATCAGCAAGAACAGAGTTCTTCTGATTCATGCTTTCACCATCTTTTGGTGCTGTCAGTGTTTGGCATGTGGCCCCTCCAGTGGGTACATGGTGGTACCTCATTGTTTAATTTGCAGTTTCCTAATGATGTGCTGGTGAACATCTTCTCACACACGTATTTGCTGTCTGTATTTATTGGACGAGTGTTTTTCCAGATCTTCTTGCTTGCTTTCTTACTGAGTGTTCTTCATGTATTTTGAATATCAGTCCAGTGTCATTATGTGCTTTGAAAATATTTTGTCCAGTTCTCCAGCTTGTCTTCTCATCCTCTTAAGCGTATTTTTGAAAAACAGAAACTTCATTTCAATAAAGTTCCATTTACCAGTGTTTCACTCACAGATCATGTTTTTGATGTTGCATATGAAGCCATCATGATAAACTCAGATTTGTAAGTACTTCTGTGTTATTTTTGTGAAGTTCTAAATTTTGTATTTAGCGTTAGAATGTATAGGATTTTTTTTTTTTTTTTTTTGGTGCTGGGAAGTTAACCAGGTTCTTCTAGGTGGGTGTTGTGTAGAGCCTACTTTTTGACTGATGCTCCTCCACTGGCAGCTGACTTTGTGACTTTTGTAAAGTCAGTGTATTTCCTTTCTTTGCATGTTAATGTCCAGGTGCTTTGGCAATGTTTTCCAAGAGTCTTTCCATTAATTTTCCTTTGTTGAAGATCAGTCAACTGTATTTATATTGTGCAAAAACCATTCTGTCTCAAGGATTGTAGCTTTTTAGTAGTTCCCAGGTTTTTTAAGGTCCTGCAAATTTAGTGTTCATGACTGTGTTGGTTCTTCTGGGTCTTTCATTTCTGAAAACATAACTTAAAAGATTTGGGATTTTATTGAATCCACAATTGAAATTTGTAACAATTGATAATACTGAGGCTTCCTATGTATGAACAGAAAACATCTCCATATATTTACCTTATCTTTGACACTCTCATTAGAAGTTTGCAGTTTTTGTCATACAAATTCTTGTCAGGTTTATATATGAGTATTTCTTTTTTAATTTTCGTGGTGCTATATAAGGGTGTGTGGTTTTTTTGGGGGGGGTTTTGTACTTGTTTAGAATTCACTGATGCTCTACCATCAAGCTATATCCCCAATTCTTTTTATGTTTTTATTTTGAGACAGAGTCTTGCTAAATTGCCTAGGTTGGCCTCAAAGTTGTGATCCTCCTGTCTCAGCCCCCTGAGTGGCAGGAATCACAGGCATGGCCTCTGGGCCCAGCTTGCTGCTGTCATCAGTATAACAATAGTGCTATTTATTAGCCTTATGTTCTACAACCCCGATGTCATCTTCTTGATTTTCATGATTCTCTGGTGCATTCCATATACAGTAGAGGACAATGCTGCATCTCTATAAAGACATTTGGGTTTTTCTAAGCTCGAGTGCTTTTTTATTATTCTTTTTTAAAAATATCTTTTTAGTTGTTGATAGACCTTTATTTTATTTATTTATATGTGGTACTGAGAATGGAACCCAGTGTCTCACATATGCAGGCAAGTGCTCCACCACTGAGCCCCAGCCCCAGCTCCCCCCAGCCTTTTTTTTTTTATTCTTGACTCTTTCTTTAACTATTGATGTAAGCATTTCATTTATTATTTGGGTTTTTGTTGTGATGGATAAATTTAAATGGTTTTTACATTTTGAATCAGTCTTGCATAGCTGTAATAATTCCCTCTTGGTCATGGTGTACAATTATTTTTATTTATTTTTTGACTCAATTATGTAATTTTTGTGCAGGAATTTTGCATTTATGATTATGATCATAAGAGTAATTCATAGTTTTCTTATTTTTCTATTTAATTTTGATAATATGGTAACCTATGCCTCAGAATAAATAGGGAGGTATTCTAAACTGTTTCTGCAGTTTAGAAAAGAAATGTAGAAAATTGGTGGCAGCTCCTAAGTATTTTATGGGAGCCTGTATGAGATGTTGGAGCCTTGTCTTTCCTTTTTTTAAATATTTTTTTAGTTATACATAGACACAATATCTTTGTTTATTTATTTTTATGTGGTGCTGAGGATCAAACCCAGGGTCTCACACATGCGAGGCGAGAGCGCTGCCGCTGGGCCCCAGCCCCAGCCCCTGTCTTTCCTTTTTTTTGTGTAGTAATTAATTGCTGATTCTATTTTTTCCACAGGCATGGGCTCATCTGTTTTGCACACTTCTCCTTGTGTGTAAGTTGTAGGAGATTGTCTCTCTCAAAGAATTGGTCCAGCTCCTCTAATTTATCTAATTTGTGTCAAACTGATGTTCCTAATAGTCTTGAATTGCACGTGGATTCATAGCAATTGCACTTTTAATTCTAATTAATAGTTTCTCTGTTCTGTTTTCTTTTTTCTTCAATATTATTGTATTATTTATACCTTTATTATATTTATTTATTCCAAATAACAAATCGATGTATTCATTTAATATGGTGCTGAGGATAGAACCCAGTGCCTCACATGTGCTAGGCAAGTGCTCTACCTCTGAGCTACAACCCCAACCCTTGTCCTCTGTTTTCTTAGCCTCATATCAATTTATCAGTGATGCTGATGTTCATGAAGAACTTGATTTTGCAGACTGCTACGAGTTTCATGATTGCAATTTCATCAGCACTTTTTCTATTAATTACTTTCTTGTGTTTAATTTAGGTTTACCTTGCTCTTATTTCTCTGGTTTCCTGAAGTGGAAGGTTCAATAATTGCTTTTACCTCTTCTTTTCTGAAATGTGCTTAGGATGACTTAGACACCCTTGAAGAACCACCTGTGCTGTTTTCTGCAGATTTCATATGATGCCCTTTTACATTTCATTTCCCTAGAAATGGTAGACTTTTCCCTCGAGTTCCCTCTTCCACCCATGTCTGTTTAGAGCCCAGTTTCCCCTCCCATTGCCTGGACACTTTCTAGCTGCTTCTGGTCTGGGTTCTGCTTTATCTCTCATATTCTTTGAGTACACTTGGGATTTCACTGGTGTTGCACATTTGTTGGGGTGTGGTTTATGGCTTAAAATGTGGCCTGTCCTGTGGGTGTTGCTGTGACCTGACAAGGCTGTGTGCTTCGCGTTAGCTGAAGGCCAGTGAAGCCTTCCTGTCTGCTTCTCCGCTGTGAGGTCTCAGTACTGACACAGTTGTGCTGAAGCCTCCCAGTGTAACTGTGGATTCTTCATTGTCCTGGGCAGTTCTGTATGTCTCTGCCTGTGTATTTTGACTTTATTTCAGGGGCATACATATTAAAAAATTGAGACAGTTAATTTAAAGTTTAGCCTGGGATGGACACAGAGGTACATGCCTATAATCCCAGTGATTTGGGAGGCTTAGACAGAAGGACCACATATTCAAAACCAGCCTCAGCAACTTAGTGAGGCCCTGAGCAAATTAGAGAGAGCCTACCTCAAAATAAACTAAAAAGGGCTGAGGATGTGGCTTGGTGCTTAAGCACTCCTGGGTTCAATCTCTGGTATGAAAAGAAGAAAAGAAAGAAAGGAAAGAAGGAAGGAAGGAGATGGAGAGAGAGAGAGAGAGAGAGAGAGAGAGAGAGAGAGAGAGAGAGAGAGAGAAGAAAAAAGAAAGAAGTTTAGCCTAGGGATAAGACTCTCCTGAGACCCCTGAGCTCTGCAGCAATTAACAGAAACAAGGCTCCCCCTGCCCCCGTCCCCTGCTCTGACAATCAGGGAGATGCAGATCAAAACTGCACTGAGATCCCATGTCACCCCAG